CGGGGCTTTTTTGCGCAAAACAAATCTGAGCTGTCTACACTGGCCCTTTTGCACGAAAGGACTTTTGCCTGAACGGGAGGGCTGCATCTAGACTGGCAAGTTTTTCTGCAAAAGCAGCTGCTTTTGCAGAAAAACTTGCCAGCTGTCTACACTGGCCGCTTGAATTTCTGCAAGAGCACTGACTTCCTACTGTCTGAAATTAATGCTTCTTGCGGAAATGCTATGCTGCTCCCGTTTGGGCAAAAGCCCTCTTGTGCAAATGCTTTTGCGCAACAGGGCCAGTGTAGACAACGCAGTATTGTTTTGTGCAAAAAAGCCCCGATCATGAAAATGACGATCGGGGCTTTCTTGCACAAAACCGCGTCTAGATTGGCACGGATGCTTTTCTGCAAAAAGTGCTTTTGCGGAAAAGCGTCCTGCCAATCTAGACGCTCTTTTCTGCAAATGCTTTTAACGGAAAACTTTTCCATTAAAAGCATTTGCGGAAAATCATGCCAGTCTAGACGTAGCCGAGCAGCATAGTATTTCCGCAAGAAGCGCTGATTTCTTACATGAAAACCGCGTCTAGATTGGCACGGATGCTTTTCTGCAAAAAGTGCTTTTGCGGAAAAGCGTCCTGCCAATCTAGACGCTCTTTTCTGCAAATGCTTTTAACGGAAAACTTTTCCATTAAAAGCATTTGCGGAAAATCATGCCAGTCTAGACGTAGCCGAGCAGCATAGTATTTCCGCAAGAAGCGCTGATTTCTTACATGAGATCGTCAGTGTTCTTGCGGAAATTCAAGCGGCCAGTGTAGACAGCTGGCAAGTTTTTCCGCAAAAGCAAACAGTCGCAGTTTAAATTCCAAACAGCAGAACAAGCAAGATTGGAATCAAACCGCTGAACTCACCCCCCGGGATGCTGGAGGTGGGTCCCAGCTCTTAACACGGGCGGAATTACTTGTTCAGCCTGGGATCAATCTCCCCAGGCTAAAGTTTTTTCTTTCAAACCATCTTGTTGCCTTCCGAGTGGGTGGGGGAGGAAGATCTGTGGCTGCCTCCATCCTGCACCTGCTCTGAGGAGTCTGGGAGGGCCACGTGACGCTGCCTGGCAGGGCAATCATGCCTCTGTTGCCACAGAAAGGCAGGCCGGGGGCCTTTCCCACTGGCCCCCTGGCGCAGTAACAGACAGACAGACAGACAATACTTCCTACCCTCACATACAAGGAGAGCGAGAAGGTAGCAATGTTCCAGCTATCGAGACTTTTCCAGTGGTGCATCACACAGAGTACTTTGTACCACACCGACCCTAAGCATGTCACAGAAGTGAATGAAGGAGGTGGGGGTGGGGGGAGCTGGCTTTCCAGGGTGCTGGTTTGAGGTACAGCTTGTGATGCCCCATAATGCACCTGTCAGAGGGTTTAGCCCTGTAGACCACTGGCTTAGCGTTCCCTCCCTGCCTTTCTTTACTTCAGCTTCTGTCTTGGGCAAAATCCTCAGTGGAACCGAGCCGCTGCAGCCTTGCTGAGAAGCTGGCTGTATATACACAGGAGCCCCCCGCTTTGTGATGGCCTGATTTATGACCCCGCACACTTACAACTTTTCTGTACATGTGGAAGGGGCCAAAATCCCCTGACTTACGTCCTTGGCCCTGCATTTATGATGGTGACTTGAGTTACGACACCTCTAACTTGCGATGCAATCTCCGGAACCGACCACGTTGCAAGTTGGGGGCAGCCTGTAGTTGGGTTCACTTCTCTTGTCTGCCATGCTGGCTTTTCTGTGCCCTGAACATAAGAACGGCCACACTGGTCCATCCAGCCCAGTATCCTGTCTGCCAACAGTGGCCAATGCCAGGTGCTCCAGAGGGAGTGAACCGAACGGGCAATGATCAAGCGATCTCTCTCCTGACAAACAGAGGCTGGGGACACCATTCCTTACCCATCCTGGCTGATAGCCATTGATGGACCTAACCTCCATGAATTTATCTAGTTCTCTTTTAAACCCTGTTATAGTCCTAGCCTTCACAGCCTCCTCAGGCAAGGAGTTCCACAGGTTGACTACATGCTGTGTGAAGAAGAACTTCCTTTTATTTGTTTTAAATAAAAGATCTTTCTTTGCCCCACCTCTGGCTCTGCAAGAACGCAAAGGATTAAATAACTCGCTGTCCCCTGCCCACCACTGAGGCCCTGGGCGGGGGAAGAAGTGTGATTTCAAAGTCCACTTCAGTGGATCTGGGTCAAATTTTTAATGCAAACTGTTTTCAGCAAAAAAATCCAGATTTGGCAACCTCCCAAAGTTACCCAAACTCATGTCAGTTTCCCCAACTTGCTCCAATAAAAAAAAAAAAAAAAAGGCAGCATAGCACTAATGCCATGAAAAGATCAGCGTTTTGATTTTTCCATTCAAAATTCCTCTTCTTTAGAAAACATCCTTTGATTTCATTTACAAAGCTCGCCAAGCCATGGAGCGGGGGCCTAAGTCCAAGCCAGATGGCTGCATTTGAACCCAAATCATTTTTGACTTCTGGCGTCCCCAAAAATTCATGTTAACTTCAACCCAAACCAAAATTCTCTCCTGGCTTTTGAGCCTGACCCGTAACCCAAGACATCCATTGCTCAGCCCACTGCGTGACCCAGGAGAACCAGGCCTTGTCCCAAGAGCCTCATGGGCCCGGCTTGGAGATTCCCACTGCTTTTCGGCAAGCCGGCTCTCCGCAGAGCTGTCTCACCGGCTTTCTTCTCTGCTGCAGGTCGAGGCAGGACGTGCTCACCTGCACCCCCTGGGGGAGCCCCATTGTCTGGGAGGGGACGTTTGATCCTGAGATCTTGCGGCAGGAGTACGGGCGCCGGAACCTCACGATTGGCCTGACGGTGTTTGCTGTGGGCAGGTGAGGGCCTGTTGGCCGGGGTTCCCAGCTGTAGACCCTCCCACCCCAGCTGTGACCAGCAGTGAACCCGTCACTGGGAGCTGAGCCAGGGCTGCTGGGGGGTGGTGGGACTCGGTTCAGTTCCCAGAGGATCCGGGGGAGGGAGCCCCGTCTTGGCATTAGGTGCGGGCCCCCAGCCCTGGGAGGGCAGGTGAGAACATAAGAACATAAGAACGGCCATATTGGGTCAGACCAAAGGTCCATCTAGCCCAGTAGCCTGTCTGCCAACAGTGACCAGCACCAAGTGCCCCAGAGAGGGTGGACCAAAGACAATGATCAAGCGATTTGTCTCCTGCCATCCTTCTCCAGCCTCTGACAAACAGAAGCCAGGGACACCATTTCTATCCCCTGGCTAATAGCCTTTTATGGACCTAACCTCCATGAAATTATCTAGCTCCTCTTTAAACTCTGTTATAGTCCTAGCCTTCACCGCCTCCTCTGGCAAGGAGTTCCACAGGTTGACTACGCGCTGTGTGAAGAAGAACTTTCTTTTATTAGTTTTAAACCTTCTCCCCATTAACTTCATTTGGTGTCCTCTAGTTCTTCTATTATGGGAACTAATAAATAACTTTTCTTTATTCACCCTCTCCACACCACTCATGATTTTATAGACCTCTATCATATCCCCTCTTAGTCTCCTCTTTTCTAAACTGAAAAGCCTCAGTCGTTTTAACCTCTCTTCATATGGGACCCGCTCCAAACCCCTAATCATTTTAGTTGCCCTTTTCTGAACCCTTTCTAAGGCCAAAATATCTTTTTTGAGGTGAGGAGACCACATCTGTACACAGTGTTCAAGATGTGGGCGTACCATAGTTTTATACAGGGGCAGTAAATTATTCTGTGTCTTATTTTCCGTCCCTTTCTTAATTCCTAACATCCTATTTGCCTTTTTGACCGCCGCTGCACACTGTGTGGAAGTTTTCAGAGAACTGTCCACGATAACTCCAAGATCTCTTTCCTGATTTGTCGTAGCCTAATTAGCCCCCATCATACCGTACGTATAGTTGGGGTTATTTTTTCCAACGTGCATTACTTTACACTTATCCACATTAAATTTCATTTGCCATTTTGTTGCCCAATCACTCAGTTTGGTGAGATCTTTCTGAAGTTCTTCACAGTCTGCTTCTGTCTTGACTATCTTAAACAGTTTAGTATCATCCGCAAACTTTACCACT